AGCTCGGGGGCGAAGTTCAGCAATTCTTAATTGCAACTACCGCGGCACGATATGAAAACATCGTACGCCATTGGACTTTACATGCTGAAAGATCTGTTAAGCTTGATGACTTCTCGGGTTTTGAGTTGGTCAATTTAATTCAGCTCTGTGGGTGGCAAAAGTTAGTGGAGAGACCGTTTCCACTCTATGAGACTTTATTCCGAGAGTTCTTCGCTAACTTCAACAGTGACATTGACACGCCAGGCTCCAAGCATTTTCATCAGACTTGGATACAGGGGAAATGGATTATGTTCTCCCCCAAGATCATTCATGATTACTACCAGCTTACCATGGAGAATGTGGTCCCCCTCCCAATTGACTTTCACTGGAATGAGGTGGCTGAGATTTTAATGGGGCGGGAGAATGCATGGCCCCTCGACACTACCGAGTGGCATCAGATTGAGCTTACCCCTTCCATGGCTATTCTATGGCTCTTTATGTGCCACAATGTTGAGCCCATATCGCACAGGACTACATTTCCAAATCAGACAGCATGATTCATTTACCACTTGGCTCGAGGTAACGAGATTGATCTCGCTACTCATATATACAATCAACTACACTCATTGGGAACTTGGAGAGATCGACGCTCCACTTTGATATTCCCGAGCCTCATTAGTGGCATATGTCGGGCTGCTGGTGTTGCCCTCCCACCTGAGGAGTTACCTGAAAAACCCAGCACCATGATCAAATGAACTACATTTGAAGAGCAGGAAAATGAGCGACGTAGACAGCAAGCGGAACAAGGCCAAACCCCTGAAGATCAGGAACACCCACGAGCTCCAGCACTACAAGCTGACATGGATAATCAGTTGCTGAGACAGATCTTCTCCACCACCACGGGCATTAGCTGAGACCTTCACAGCTTCTTTCAAGATTTTGGTAACATGAGGGCTGAATTGGGAAGTTTACAAAGAGACAATCAACTTGTGTTGAACTACATCAGAGATGCTAGGGATCATGCTACAATCATGCGACGGGAGGTTGATACCATGAATGGCCGGCTGAACATGTATGTTGGTCGGGTGGACGGTATCCAAATGAAGGTCAATGAAACTTGGGAGACCATGAGAGCTCTCCAGGCCGAGCAGACACAGCAGTCTACCTTGATGCGGGAAATGAATGAGATGATGCGGCAGCTCCTTGGACAACACCCTCCTCCGCCGGATGATGGTATAGCAGGACCCAGTTTCCCACCACCTCATCCATTTTGATTCAAGGGAAGTACTATTGACCACATTTTGGATTTTCATTTTTATGTTGTCCGTAAAATTATGTCTTTAATCTTCTGTTAATTTTACATTGAGGACAATATAGTAACAAATTTTGGGGAGGTGAGACATAATTTTAACTACGTATCTGTGTTATCTGTGTTCATCGGTATGAGTGCATGAACTAAAAAAAAATTACATTTTATTCAGTTTTGTTTTAATTCTTTTCATGCATGCTTGTGTGGGCTTGATAACCTTGCTAGCTATGATGTTATAATTGGACTAGTTTAAACTGCAAAATCTTTGGATCTAATGCAACTATGCTAGCTGACCCTTGTTGATGCAAAACTTGACATTATCTATGCACACAATTCATGCGTGACATATTAGCTAAATGACTGGATTTTGAGCATAAAATAGAAAAAGAATGATAACCCTCTATTGAATCAAACCTAAACTGCCTTAAGATAGTTTAGTGATGGTTGAGCTATTGTAAGGGAGCATTGAGATAAGTGGAGGCTCCGTGCATGAATTCTATTGTGTGGATTGCCTAGACCAGTGAGGTGAAGATTAGGTGAAAATCTTAAATTCGGGGTTGGTTTTGGAAACTAAATGTCTAGAACAATAAGGGCATAAAATAAATTTGTGAAAACAATACACTTCTTTTCATGTCTTTATGACTCGAACAAGTAAGCTTTTAAGGATATTTCAAAATCTGGTGCCCTAAAGTCAATTGGCTTGGGAGTCACCGGCCTAAAGCTCACTAAAAGGGTTATATAGAAAGCAAGAGGGAAAGAGGTTAATTGAAAGTCATCTGATCGAACCTTTATAATTCGAGTGAATAAGCCTGCAAGGGTTTAAAACCTGGTGCCCTAAAGCCAACTGGTTTGGGAGCCACCGGCCTAAAACTCGTTACATGGCTTATATAGAAAGCAAATGAGAAGATGAAACTGAAAAAAAATGAGAAGATTGATAATAAAATCAGAAAAATTAGAGAAAAGAGAAAGGATAACATGAAGAAAAGCCCTTGGACATTTGGTTAAAGAAACTATACCTTTGAAGCAAGGCAAGTAACCTAATTTAATCTTGAGAGTCAAAGCGATCAAACTTAGGAGAGCCTTCACTTGTTCAAATGTAAACTTGTGATAGTGAGATTAATCCAAACTGTGAGAGGATGAGGACTACAGCTACGTGAATTCCTAGTTTCGAAACACAACCCTGGAATAATTGAGTAAAAAAAAATAAGTTTTGGGGGGTTGTGTATCTCTCGAGCGAGTAAGGATATAATTGACCAGTCGGGGTTGGGACTCAAATCCATCATGAACCTAATATGTTAGCATGAACTCACAAGTACGCATTTAACAGACGAAGGTTGATGTCATTTTTGCACTGATATATCTTCATCAAATCAAACACTTAGTCCAATCCTGAGCCGTAGCAGGGTATTAAGCCATGTTTGTTCAGAATTTAGTCACTATCTTGTTTGAGGACAAACAATAGTTCAAGTTTGGGGGGTTTGATAAGTGTGTTTTTGCACACTTATTTAGGTCATAAACATGACTTAATTATGAATAAAATGATTGAATTATAACTTAATTTCGTTACATTTGTGAATTGTAGGTAACACCGATGAACATGGTGAAATACATGAGAAAAGACGCGAAAAAAGACTAAAATGACACAAAGTGAAAGTTCAAGGACCAAGGTGCAATTACCCAAAAGTTGATCCGATGAACAAATCAAGAAATTGAGTTTTCCAAATACAAATTTATGACATTTTGGGATGATGGAATGTGAAGAATGAAGAAAAGATGCAAAGAAGTGGAAAATTCAAGTAAAAGGACCAATTTGCAGAAAATGAAAGTTGAATTCTACCATGCGGTCACATGGTAGAAATGTCGTGCCACCGCACAAAGGGATGCAAGGTATTCAAGTTGAAATAGAGAATAACCATGCGGTTGTATGGTACGTTTTCGGCGCGATTTTTTTCTTTCCTTATACGATTGAAACACCTATGGTAACCTAATTTTCCACGAGATATAAATATCAAAAACATTCCAGAGATGCCCAGAACGTAATTGGAGGCCGAAAAAATACTTCTTGGAGAGGATTTGAGTGCAAGAACAACGATTGGCACGAAAAACTTCAAGATTTATTCAAGATTTCATAACCCGGTGATATCTTTTATTCAAAATATGATGTATTGTGTTATTTTAATCATGCTAGGCTAGATTTTTATTATTCTAGGAGATTGATGAACCATGTGATTTGAATTTTAATATTCTCGTTTTGCAATTTGATATTAAGACACAATTTTTATTGTTTTGAATAATTTATATGCAATTAATGTTTCCGCAATTAAGGGCTCGTAATTGTGTGAATTTGAGTGATTTATTCTTGCATTCGAGAGAATTGGAATAGATTTGACATAATTTAAATCATCGTAGGGTCCGATAGTGGATAGAAATATACCGCTATACCCTACGTGAATCTTTAAGTGTTCATAAAATCCCATGCATTTTTACATATGCTCTTGTCATAGACATATAGACCGGTGGTATGTAGAAATAGGATTGATACATCTTGAGAGAGAGTATTCAATAGATTTAGGAACATTGATTCTTCAAAATTGAAATGTATTGTTATATTGTGAAACTAGGTTTAAAGTGATAATTGCATGGGAATTCGTGATCCTAGCATATTTAATTCCCAATAATTATAATAATGTGCGTTCTCAACTTTTAGATTTCATTCTAGAGTTTTAAATTATTGTTTTGCATATTAATTTCAATTTAATCATAAAAAAATTGCATAATTGGGATTTAATTAGGTCTACATTCACTTTGGTTATTTAGTTTCGGTTAAGGCTACGGTAGGTAAAATTTGAGCTAATCAATCTCTGTGGGACGATATTCGGACTCATTTAATCCACTTTATTACTTGTTAACGAACTGTTCACTTGCGGTGGTTTAAAATCAAAAGAAATAATTTCGTGAACACCGGTAAAATAGATAGTTTAAGATATTTTTTTCCAAAGGTACAACAGAGTGAGCAGTGTCATAAAGTTGAGGAAACAAGTGACTGGTGAATAAAAAGGATTGAAAGTAAGAGTTATTCGTAGATTCACCAAACAAAATAAACTATTGCAAGGCTGACTATAGCCCTCAGCATTTCCTTTACATTCGACAATACTGATGGCATAAATCCTCACATAGAAATCAACCTTCTCAATTATTTTATGGATATGTGGGGAAATAATATTGTGTATGAGGAAATTCCTTGTTGGATCTTGAGAAAAACAACAGGCCAAATTACGTGCCTACGGAATTTTATGTCTTAGTTACCCTCAAGGAACAGTTGGAATGTTTGGACATAGACGTAGGTGTATCCTTGAAGAAATTATCAGTTGCTTGCTCCACCACATGAAAGAAAGGATACAATCTATGAAATGGTGCAGGCTAAGGATGGACCTTGGGGAAAAGTACAATTCACCTTCTTTGTTGTGTTTGCTTGTGTGGTTATCTTAAGTTGGTTCTGGTCATTAAAAATTATGGGCTATAATTGCTTATAAAGCACACTAGGAGTCAAAGAACAAAAGTAATTCACATTTCTGGTTGTTCCGAATGTAGGTGATACTCTACATGAATTGATGGTATCTCGTATTTGACAATTAGAAATGTAACGCCCCAAATATTATTGACTTAAAATTTGAGGAGTTACCGATATCATTCCATAATCATACATCAAGCGGAAATAAAATTTAAAATTTAATACCTTAATTTATTGAAACTCAAATATTGAATCAAATAAACATAGCGTCATGAATGGAATTGAAGAGAAACATAAATGCCCTAACAAATTTATTATGGATTCCTAAAAATTTCTTTTACTTGGCAACCTGCGTACCACTCAGCCACCATCCACGTTGACCAATCTGATCTGAAAAGTTAAATGGAAGGAGTGAGTAATTTATACTCAGTAGGATACGTGCGTCCAAAACAATATGATAACTTTTAAAACACGAATCTATAACATTCCATACCATCATTTCATCAAAAGCAATCGGTGATCAATCGAAAGCTCTAGTACATTTGAGAAGACCTGAAGGCGATCTCACATTTCATTTCATAGGGACCCGCAGGTCAATTATTATTTCATGAAATAAATCACATAAAAAAAATTATAATATTGCAAGGATGAATCACTTGCACATGGTATCCTACCTCGTTAATTTACGAATTTTGAAAACAAGATCCAAGAATCACGCTCCAAATGTTTATTTTCTGTCAACGCAATTGTTGCCGTGTATGTGCATGCAATAGATGTGATTAAAGAGGCAAAGAGAATTATAATTTTGGTAGAATATGAATATAATAGGGGGTTTTTGCTGAACTTAAAGAATGAAACCAAAAACTAAGGAAATGGGGTTCATGACAAAAATAAGTGTATGGCATTAGTATTTATAGGCAAATATAAAGTAGTTGATAAGGGTTAGAACTGTGTTAGTCATTATCCTCTATAAGATTGAAATTTATCCAAATTATATGAAGGATAATTAAAAATCAAGAATAATCATTATGTGATCAGATTTTATATAATTACGATGTGTATAATTTTAGTTGTAACTTGTAGATAATAAATGGAATCTACCTGTTATATTGTTTAAAATTCAAAAGGGTCTTATAATTCAAAATAAGGATAATGACTAAAAATAGAGATAAATTACATTATATATAATTTTATACACAACACGTGTAAACATAGGGGAAAACCAAGTTATATACAACACGTGTTCAACACATGTACACGTAGGAGAACACTAATCTTGTTATAATCATTATCAAATGGAAAACACAATTGGATTCAATCATTTTCAAATAAAATATTTTATAAGATTTGCCAATTATCTTGAAAGATACAGTCTCTCTAGTTAATCACATGTCCACGGAAATCGATTCTGTTACACTGGATTTCAAATGGAAAAACAGAATTTGGGTATGACTAAATCCTTAAAGATAATCATGATTATAAAATATTGTATTATTTTGCTAATTATCTTTAAAGGGACATTATTTGAAAATATATATTAAATAAGTTTCTTTGAATTCATTTATTCCAACTTAAGTTATCATTATCCATACACGCAGACATTAAGATAAGTTGGACTCCTAATTGCATTGGATATAAGGCTTAATTTATTTTAGTACAAACAAACAATTTAATAAATAACTAATAAGACTTGTATCTAATTTCCATGAAAGTAGTGTTTATTCTCTTTTGTCAAACCGAGAGCAAAATGTGGAAGCTTTAATGAAATTTGATTACAGTAACATAAATTCTTGTTTCATTATGGTTAACTCCAAATCCTAATTTAACTGACTAATAAGGAATCATGATTGCAGTATTGAAGTCACGTCCAATTTTGCCAAGTGAATTAATCCCTTAATCTTTGATCTCTTTAACTTAATTTATTCTAAACATAAAACTGGATTTGGCCAAGTAAAACAACATTAGGATTTAAACACTAGAATTAGATTAATTATAACTAAGGTTTTAAAACTCCACCATGGCTTCAATTAACGTAATCTATTGTACCAAAGAAGACTAATCCTAATCAAAAGCACACGTGGCTACACATCTTATTTAAAATAATATTACTTACCATTTTCATTAACACCAAAGCTTAAAACTTTAGAACTATAAAATCTTGGCCATAACTTATTCAAATTAATTTTTTTTCTCGAGCCTAAAATGGATAATTAATTACAAGTTATCAAACGAGTACAATATTGATATTCTTACTCTCACTCTACCAAAATTTAATTATTTGACTAAAAATATAACAATTTAAAATATATTGCATCTTAGTCCCTCAACTTTTGGTAGAATAACATATAAAACAAATATGTTTTTATTCTAAAATTTTCGGGATGTTACAAGAAATGTGATGGATATTAAAGTGATTTGTACCTTAATTCTTCAACCTCAATTGGGTGTATATATAGACTTTACAATGAGAATAATTGAGAAAGATAAGACACGGAGAGTATTCTAGAATGTATAGTTGGAGCCATTTCCTTGAATCATGGATGATCTTTTGAAACCACTATTAACTGAATTCCTTGATCAGAAGAGGGCACATATCTTACTTCTAATTCTTTTCCAAGGACTTTATCTTTGACAAAGTGAATGTCCAGTTCTTTGTGCTTTATTCTAGCATGATACACATGATTTGCTGCTAAAGCACCCACACTCATATTTTCACAGAAGTTTTAACTCCAAGAATCAATTAATTCAAGTTTTGGCTGCATTTGTCTTCTTCTTCCATGATCTATCTTCTCTCTCCCACGCATTGTACTAGGGATGAAGGTAAAGTATTTATCTTTAACTGAAACCTTGTATAAAGATTTTAGCAAAGAAATGTTGAACTCCATTGTCTATTGGTCGACAAGAAATTTCGTACCGTTTCCTTTACCTCCAATTTTCATATTGTGGTCGGATCGGATTTTCATTCGATTCCCAATTTTTTCGATTGAACTGACCGGTCTGGTCTGGGTTTGAAAACATCGGTTTATATTACTACAAAGTGATGCCTTTTGGGTTGAAAAACACAGAGGTCACATATCAAAGGTTGGTTAATAGGATGTTTGCTGATCTCATTGGAAAGACAGTGAAGGTGTATGAGGACGACATGCTTGTGAAAAGCTTGAAGATGAAAGATCATGTTAAACACCTCAATGAAGCTTTCAAATATTTCGGAGGTGCAGGATGAGGCTTAATCCTCTCAAATGTGCATTCGCAGTTGCCTCAGGGAAACTTTTGGGTTACTTGGTCAATCAAAGAAGCATTAAGGCTAACCCAAAGAAGATCAAAGCTTTAATTGAAAAGAGATCACCTCAAATGCCTAAAGAGGTACAGAGTCTTACTGGTGCAAAATAGCCTTAAGTTGCTTTATCCCAAATCCAACAAGTAAGTGTCTCCCTTTAGTTTTGAAAATAGGAAGTAGGTTTCAATGAATAGAGGAATGTGAAACAGCCTTGCGAGTGCCGAAGAAGCACTTGGGATAGGCTCCTCTCCTTTCCAAACCTAAAGTTGGAGAACCTCTTCAGTTATGTCAGGCAGTAACCAGTTCAATACTGGTAAGAATAGAATGGGGTTACCAGATACCTGTGTATTATATGAGTAAAGCACTCACTGCGGTAGAGATCCATTATCCAACGACGAGTTGAGAAGATGTGAGCTTGATTTTATTGAGGAAATGAGAGGTGAATCCCCAACAAAGTTGTCTATCTACCAGTGAAAGATGACTAGGTATTACAACTTTAAAGTTAAGAAAATGTCATTTCGCTTGAATGATTTGGTCGAGTATTCCTATCCACTAAGGACCCAAATGTAGAAAACCTTGGGCCCCAATTGGGATGGTCCTTACTGCATCAAAGAGGAGGTTCGACTAGAGACCTATAAAATTGAAAGTATGGATGGAAAGGTGTAGCCTTATCCATGGAACGCAGAACATCTACGGAAGTATTACTGGTGAAAATGTAAATGAATTTTATGTATGATTTGCATACATTGAATGAAAGTTCCATATTCAAAATCTCTGTTGTATGGAACTAAAGTTAAGGGAGAAGCCTCTGTATAGACGAAGTGTACTTATTTGGAGAAGTATGGCACTTCGATGACGAGGGGGATCTTAATTTGGACCACCTCATAACTAATAGAATTATTTAAAGAAGTCTGAAATGTGGGTCCTAAAATGATCATTAACTAAGGTTAAGAAGGCCTCAGCATGGGCGAACTACTCAACCCCATACTTAGGAAAATAAATTGAAGGCATGAATTGCCAACAGTTGCACAAATTGCAAGTAAAAACAAGTCTTAAATGACAAAGTTAAATGCCACAAATGCAATGAATTCATACATAGGGAATGCAGCAAGTCCCAATTGATAAAATCAAATGCTACAAAGTAATGAAATTACATCGAAGACAGAAAGTAACAAAAATCTTTTTCATTGAGAAAAAAATTACAAAAGGTGGGCTTCTAGGTCATCGACTACAAGGACCTACTACTATACAAGTAGGGAAGGACGAGGTACAAATGGTACAACGGCATCAGGAGCCACTTTAGCCACCTCTTTTTCAACTGCTTCATCCTCGATTTCGATTATATGGCTACTCTCCGTGGGAGTTTGAGGCTCTCCTCCCTTTTTCAAGAACTCAGACCTTAACTTAGAGGTGTTGAATATCTAAGAGTTCACCTTGATCCACTCAATCATCTAAGTGTAGGCATACCTTCGCTAGTATTTGGCAAAGCTTTGGTATTCCTTAGTAAGGTGAAAGTTGGCAATATATCGCTTCTCAACTTCACTGCCAGCAGATTCGGTTTCCCTTCTCGCCGTCTCCACTTCTTTTCTTAAGCCTGATATTTTGGAATTCAGCTCTCCCACCTGTTGTTTTAGTGCAGCATTTTCTTTATTAGCCTTCTTCAGGGCCTTAACAGCCAGCTTTTGCTGGGCATAAGAAGTCTCGACCTGCTTCGTCAGAGAGGCCACTTCATTGTTAGACAATTGGACATCATTTTTCAGATTTTTAACTTCTACTAAGGCAGAAACGAGCTTCATAGACTCTTCAACCTGTTGTTTCTTCAAAGCGTCTACCTCTGCCAAAGCCTTTAACTTCTTCACATGTTCTTTATTTTTATTTTGAAGGTTTTTAAAGAGGGATCCCGCCTGTATGGCTATCCCAAATGCTTTCCCCATTTGGCTCACCATGGTGGTGAAGATGTCCATCCAGTCATTGGTCTCTACAAAGGACTGCCAATGGTCCGTCCAAAATTTGTGAAAAGTAGATATGTCGCAATTTGAACTTTTGGCGGCAACATTGACAGGACCTTAGGAGCCAGCTCGTCGCTCCGTTGAGAAACGGAGAGCTTAGGACGAGGACCTGCATCAAATGCAATGGACTTACTTGATGTACTCGCCCTCTTCTAGGAATCTTACCTTAGGGTTCCATAGCAGTGGGCCTCTTCTGAGCCCCCTTGACTGCAACAATAGATCCTACCTTTAATTTCTTCCCAGTAAGGACTTTGGAGCAAGGTGGTAGGCTGGCCATCAATCCACTATCTTCGGTGGCAGAGAAATTTTTTCTTCTTGGGGACCTTCTCCAACTTATTTTTCCTTTGTCCTAAATAGGAGGTCGTCCCCTTTCCTTCATGGCTAGAAATCTCCCTACTGACCTTCTTAATCTGGTATATCACTTGCTTCGTTGTAATAGATGAGGGCTCAATCCCTTCCTCCCAGTGGTGGAGTTGGCAAAAGGTATTGTTGCTATATTTTGAGTGGGATACCTCCTCTTTTCAAAATTTTTTGCTTAGAAATCTTACAAACACAAGGAAAATATTTCAACAAAAAGTACACCTACCTTTTCGAGCCATTAGACAAAACTCTTCAAAGAATCGGCGAGCAACGATCAACCTTTCGAATTCCCATGAAGATAAAGGACGAAGGTAGATGTCCTACATAACCTCTAGCTCTGATTGGCTCAACTTGAAGTGATCAACCGTGCTTGCCAAAATCAAGAGACATATCAGAATTCGAATTGAATCAACTTCCATATCAATAATCCATTTAAACTAAAACACTCACGATCTTCTGAGTAGGAGGTAGGAACTTTACACAATTGCAACTTCTCCCTCACCGAGAATCATGTTCCCTTTCCCTGAAACCCTGGACCGAAAATGGTTTAGAAGACGTGAAGGGACATATCCTCTTCAAGGGAAGTCTCCACAAAAAATAGGTTCCCACTAATTGGGTCCAAGCGTTGGGGATGAACTATGTAGGAGCCAATCCGTGCAATCTCAAAATTGCCCTAAAAATGGATGAAGAGGCAAATGAAGTGCAGCTGTTAGGAGGAACTCGTTGATGGCAACGCAACCCTGCATTGGAAATCAGGATCGCTCGTCAGGAAAATGAGATAAGAATATTATATCATATGTGATAGATTATTTTTCTCTCAACTCAACCAGGTGAGAAGCAAAAACAAAGGAGTTTGCACCATAATATATCATAAAATTAACATGTTGCTGAAGTTAAGATGACTAAAAATCGCATGTTTTCTTTATCATTTCAAGCCAAACAACTATTTTTCTTTATTGTTGCTGTGTTTTTTTATATTGATTGGCTATGGCATTTGTGTTTTGGTCACCTGAACTTCAATGGCTTAAGGTAGCTTGTAAATACAAAAATGGTTACAGGGCTACCTTTATTAGAAAACTCTAATCAATTGTATGAAGATTGTGTTGTTGAAAAACAGCATAGGGATCCTTTTCTAGTAAGCAAGTCTCGAAAAGCAACACAACTACCAGAACTTGTATACTCAGATGTTTGTGGACAAATGGAGACTAAATCACATAGAAGTAATTGTTATTTTCCCACTTTCATAGATGATTATACAGGAGAACTTGGGTCTATTTTTTGAAACATAAGTCTGAAGTTTTTTAATACTTTTAAAGGCTTCAAAGCCTATATGAAGAAACAAAGTGGTTGTTTTTTGAAGGTGCTTCATACAGATAGAGGGGTGGAATACACTTCCAATGTATTCTTTGATATTTCCAAATTTCATGGAATTAAGCATCAACTAACAGCCAACTATACACCGCAGCAAAATGGGATTTCTAGAAGGAAGAACATGACAATAACCAAAATGGCACATAGCATGTTGAAAGGAAAAAATTTACCAAAAATATTTTGGGTGGAGACAGGGGAAGTGGCATGTGTTGTTTCCATTTTAAACTGGTGTCCTACAAAAAGTGTTTGTAATACAACACCTGAAGAGGCATGGAGCAACTATAAGCCAGATGTTCAAGATCTTCGAGCCTTTGGTTGCATTGCATGTGTTGAGAAACGAAAAAAATTTGATGGTAAAAGTACAAAATGTATTTTTATTAGTTATAGTAATACAACTAATGGCTGTAAATTGTTTGATCCAGAAAAAGGTGAAATCATTATGAGCAAGGACGTAGAATTTGATGAAAGTAAAGCTTGGGCTTGGACAAGTAAAAGGAGCAATAGGTAGGGATTCATCTGGATGAACCTAATATTGGTAATATATAGTCTAACATTCAGATTTCCAGCACATAAATCATTCTACTTCTTTGGCTCATATTGAAGTCTCATGGTTCAACTAAAAGGCATGTTATGCTAGCTTATGTGCAAGATTATATCATAGCCAATGATAATGATGTTTCTAATGAGGAATTAGTAAAATTTTGCATTATTTGCAGATTGTGATCCTCTTGCTTTTGCAGAAGCAGCTCAAGTTGATAAATGGATTCGTGCTATAGATGAAGAAATTCATTCAATAGTTAAAAATATTACATGGGAGCTAACTTCTTTGCCGCAAGGAAAGAAGTCAATTGGTGTAAAATGGGTTTACAAAACAAAGTTCAAACTAGATGGTCAAGTCAATCGGATGAAGGCTCGATTGGTTGTAAGAGGGTACAAGCAAAAGGCAGGTATAGACTATTATGAAATTTTTGCACCTGTAGCTCGACTTGATACCATTCGTATAATATTGCACTAGCCGCTCAAAAGAAATGGTAGATACATTAGATGGATGTGAAATATGCATTTCTAAATGGTTTTCTTGAAGAAGAGGTCTATGTCGATCAGCCAAATGGTTATGGGTAGAAAGGACACGAAGGAAAAATTCTCAAATTGAAAAAGCCTCTCTACGGGTTAAAAAGGCGACGGGGGATTAGTACACTCAGATTAACACGTATTTCCAAGAAAATGGTTTTCTTAAGTGTCCGTATGAACCCACATTGTATATCAAATCTAATTCACATGGAAATATGATTATTATATGTTTGTATGTTGATGATTTGATTTTTACAGGAGATTATCCAAGTATGTTTGCAGAATTTAGGGAGACTATGACTAGCAACTTTGAAATGATTGAACTGGGAATCGTCTTATTTTCTTGGACTAGAAGTGATGCAGACTAATGGAGGAATATTTATTTCGCAAAAGAAATATGCAAAAGATATTCTAAAGCGATTCAAGATGGAATCATGGAATCCTATCAAAACTCCTCTTTTCAAGAAAGATTTCATTTGGATAAAAATGGCAATGGAAAATTTGTTGATCCAACTTATTTTTGAAGTATGGTAGGTAGTCTACATTTTATGACCTCTACTAGACTTGATATCACATTTGGAGTTTGCATTATTAGCCGATTTATGGAAACACCAAGCCAATCTCATTCGGAAACTGCAAAGCGAATCCTACAATAAATAAAAGGTAATCAAAGTCAAGGTATCTTTTATTCATCTCTTGATAACCACAACCTTGTTGGGTGCACAGACAGTGATTGGACAGGTGATCTTGAAGAAAGGACGAGTACGTTTGGCTATGTATTTCACATGGGCTCACGAGCAACAAGTTGTTGCTCTTTACACTATCGAAGCAGACTATATTGCAACTGCCTCTACTGCATGTCAAGCTGTTTGGTTGGGAAGATTGTCGGAAGAATTAAATCAGAAACAAATAATTCCTATGAAGATTTTCTGTGATAACAAGTCAGCTATTTGCTTGACTAAAGATCTAGTCTTTCATGGGAGAAGTAAACACATCTACATAAATTTTCATTACATTCGTGAGCTTGTCAAAGAACATGAAGTAGCTGTTGAATTCTGTAAATTTGAAGATGAATTGGCTAACATTCTTACAAAGTCATTGAAAGCTAAATTTTTTCCAAGTTAAAAGAATATGATGGGAATGATTAGTTTTGAGTTTAAGGGAGGCTGTTAGAAATCAAACTCAAACGGCCTTTTTTCTTTAGCTGAGCCACAATGATATTGAGTAAGTCTTACAGTCCATTAGGAATCTATTTTTCAGTTTCATTGTTATGCCAATATAATAGGGCTTTAGTGGGTCAATTAGTGGACTTTTTTAGGGATTTGGACTCACTTTTTTGAACTTGTAATTGGCTATATATAGCTGATGTTTCTACAATTTTTTGATCATCAGTTCATCAACAAGCATTATTCTTCTTCTATCTGTCCGTTTCCTTCTTTTAAAAGATCCTGGGAAATTATTCTGATTTAGTTTCCTGGAGGGATCGGCTTTAATCAACATTCGGTTTACAATTTCAACTGATGTTGGATGCTAACTCCAATAGAACTAATATAGTCATCTAACTTTGTAATCAAACTGAATTTCAACTTTGCTTTTGCAGAGCAGTAGAGAGGATATATACAAGCATACTAAGTCGAAGAGGAACCCAAAATGATAGTACGAAACAACAGTTCTGGGGAAGCAAAAGGTGCATATACTGCTGGAGGTGTTCAACAAACTGTTAGCAAAAACAAAATTTATGACTGTAATATAACTACTAGTGATTTTTATTGTTTTCTGATTGGGTGGAAAAAAAAGAAGGGCCGAGTTCCTGCAGCAATATATGAGAATTACAGATACTTTCATACATACATGTAATAACAGATTTCTTGGAAGTCAATCAAATCAGAGGCTTCAGCAACAAGATCAACAGAGACGAATTGAGTTGTCATAGCCAGATAAATTTCATTTTTGACAGTTGAACCCTTTGCAGACAGAGAGAACTATGATGAGGATCAAGGCAACCACAATGGCCAAAACAATGATTTTAGTCTTCATGTTTTGCAACCACATTTTTCTCCGAAGTGTTGTTCCAGTGTTCCTGAAGTTCTGTGCCTGTTTCAGCAAAATAATTAAGTCAACTAGGAATGTCCATGGAATGATGTTATATTGATGATGCGCCTTACCATTGAGGCACACAACATTCCCATTTCATTCTGTTGTTAGTACATTTTTTCAATTCAAATTTTTAGTTTTGAATTCTAAAGAGGTAATGAGAATAATAACTATTTGATGAGGAATAAAAGTATGGATTAGGAGAGATGGGATCTTAAAATAGAGTTCGATATAAGTGCATGCTTGGCAAAGCTTAAATTTCTTAAGTGCTTTGGGTCCTACACAATGTGTTCATAGTAAGTTGTTGGCCTACATATTGTGTAGATAAAAAGTATGTTTGACCAACTTAAAAAATAAAAATAAAACAATTTTGTGATTTACCAAACATGCACTAAATTATTTTACTAAAAGTTCCTTTGAGTTTAACTTCTTTACCCTATAAAAGTGAACCTAGGACTTCGAGGACCCATAAGTACTACCTACTTATCCCCCACTCATTTCTAACTATTTATAATTTAAAATCTTTATAAACACTACCCAAACATGCTCAAAATATTGTTCTCATCAATAATTTTAGTCCTTGTTTGATCCCCATTATTTCCAAAATACATTTTTCTTTCTTTTTCTCAACCACACATTCTTCAATTAAATAATATTACATGAAAACCCAAAACTTTTCCTTATTCTGTAACTGCACATTCTCCATAAATCTATTATTCCAAAATGCATCAATAAAAAGGGCGCTCAAACAAGCTATTAATGTTTAGCTATTTGAATTTTATTTTTATCATGCCATATGTAGCTACATCAAAACCAATCTCAACAGATTTAAAAGAACAGCTAAAAGCACGAGTGCATAGAGATAGAGACGTACCTGATGATGAAGATTCTCCGTCTTATCCACGAGAAGTTCTATCTTCTCCCCACGATCAAGAACCTGTAATAAAGAACAAAGCCAAGATGGCATTCATCCACAAAGATGCATCAAATAATGAAAGATTTCTTTTCAATTTAACTTCTCATGCTTTGCTCAAAAGAAAATCTCTCCCCCATTTTGGGCTTGTGTTCTCATCAGGCACTTCCAAAAAATGAAAATAACGAAACCACGTGTCAAAAGGAAAAATGAAAAGGAAAGAGAAAAGGCATCAGAGTAGCGAAAGGATACAGATGAATGTTAGAAGCACTCTGCCCTAAGAATAATATAACATTCCTTCAAGTTTCACCATGAAAGGGAAAACACAACTTAATAAGCCAATATGCAATTTAATTTCGCAAGTTCCATCATATTAGAAGGATAAATCTAAAAAGTTTGTGATAAATTCCACTGCATCGAAACTAAAAATTACTTATTTCGGGATAACTTACTGTTCAATCCCCAGGGGGGCAGGTAGAACAGGCTATCCAACAGATTGGCCATCTGCGTTTTTTAAATATCAAGAATACCTGGTATTTCAGAGTAAAAAAATTCTGTTTGAAAAGCAGTTTGATAGATTGTTGTTCCTATTCATCGTATGTTTTTTACTTGTCCACTTAATTCCATGATATTGATTAGAAAAGGATTCAGTAGTCATAGCTAGCATAAAATTTTCTCATAGCAGTTCAAGCATCCACCATCTTTTCTCATGTTATAGAATACCTGCTATTCCTCCCTTTGGCACAGAATTTATAATTGAGGCAACCGAAGTTTCAAGTCAACTGAATCAATGAGAATCCTAGCATTGCTCCTAGAAAACACTTCTATGTTTGGAGGACAGTAGAACAATTAATTTATTATTATCACTGGTCAGAAATTAGGTTATGTATCTCAATATAATGATTCATCAAAACAATAAAAGATTGTCAAACTTTTCATGACATACAAGCAAAACAACACTCTCCATACCTTCTCAATATTTTCCATCATAACACCTTTAACTTCTGAAACCTGTGCTTTCACCTTTGAAAGATTGCTTATCTCTTCAGGATGATCAGTGCAGTACTGCATGTGTTCTTTCAACTTTCGTCTGTAATAAAGCGCTTCCACGTATCAGTTTCATTATAACAAATAAGAATTTCAAACTATCTCATCACTGTTACAATTACCCAAATTCCTTGCTAAGGCTATTAGCAGGAGCTGTTGCAGCCTTTCCACCACCATACATTGCTACAAAGTCATCCTTAATACGCTCCAGAAATGCCATAGGAACCTGTCTTCCTGCTGATTCTTCAGCAACCACACAGTACGCTTCACAGAATTTCCACAACCAATAATGGACAAAAACTATGACTTAGATATCTGGCAAATATATAAGAGTAACTATATTCTCAAGATGGTAGTTTTATCTGTGTTTGCATCAATTGCACAAGTAGCAAAATCTAATCACGAAGAATCTACAAAAATCTGTTCACAAATACAACATAGTTCATTAATGCAATAACTTCTTGCCTCCTATCAGCCACGCACAAGGCATGAGAACTGCATCCATATCACATTTACATAAAATTTATCATTTTAAATAATTTCCTTTTAAGCAGTTAACAATTTTCGATTCACAATCCAGGGACCTTTCAAATTATTAAGAAAATTAAACGTTGCAAGTCAACAGAGATCAGAAGAAATCAAAATAAGGCAATATTGCTCATTTCCCTTGGGATCCCCATTTAACAACAAATGCGTGCAAAAGCACATTTCAATAACAAACAACTTAATATAATAATCATGACTCAGATCGTCCAGTTCCTAATTCCAAACTTATAAATCAACACCTCACGTTAGATTCAAAATTACTGTAACGACGCAAAGCCGTAGAAAAAAACTATTTATAGGAGCTACTACTAGGAAAATTAGCACATACTGAAGCCATCGTGAACAAGGTAATTGAAGGTGTGGTTATCGCAGTTGTAGGTGAACTTATTGTTGGAAGAAGGAAGCTTTTGAAGGCACTGGCAAGCTATGGAGTTGAAGTTGCCGCTGAACTCTGTGTACTCAGCCAGTACCACTGGTGGCGTCCCACGCGCCACCAACGCATAGATTAGCGTTTTCATGCTGTTTTGCGCCACTTTCAATTTAGCTTTTGGATTGATTGGTTTCTTCCTAGGGTTTATTCACCTCTATAAGTATTTTTTTCTCTAGATCTTGAAATTTTGATCACTGTAGCATAATATTGCAGCCCTTTTCTCTACTCTTTGGTTTTAGAGAGAGAGAGAGCGCGCGCGCACGGAGATTGGATTGGATTGGTTTGGGGGAAGTAAGGTGGCTGCAAGATTCATTTTACCAAAACTACTTGGATAAAGAATGTTGGATTGGTGTGACCCTAATTTGAAACGGAATGTTGATAGAGAATGTATGGTTAAAAATTAAGATAAAATTATGAATTTACGTATAATATTATTTTATTAAAATTTTGTGGTTAAAAAGAAAATAAAGAAAAATGTGAGGGTGTTTAACATCCATTTTTATGGAAAAATGAATTTTAGAATGGTAAATTGATGGAGAATATGTGAATAAAAAAATAAGGAAATTTTTTTATTTACGTGTGATATTATTTTAATGCATAATAGGTGGTTAAAAAGAAGAAAGGAAAATGTATTTTGTAAATAATGAAAATCAAACAATGACTTAAAATAAATAGGGTAAATTGCATCGTGACTTCATCAACTTGAAGGTTGATTTTTCACAAGTTTGTTCAAGAACTAGCAAAACTAGAATGTAATGGGAACGTTGTCTTTGAGAATCGAACCCACGACCACGTGATTAAAAGCCATGCACTTTACTGACTAAGGTAAGAAAATTGATATAATTCTTTCATAAAGGTAAGAATAAGGTTCCGTTTGGTGGAAATTAAAATCAAATTTTTAGTATATTTTGATAAAAGTTAATAAAATGTGTGGTTGAAAAATTGTGAATTTTATGAAATAATGGTTAAAATTAATTATTAATTTTGATTTCCAAACTCTTCTCCTCTCTCTTCACGTTCTTTTTCCAAAACTTCGAATGGAAGTTGATTTCTTCTAATTCTATTTTTAAATATGTACACTGGGTGTGTCATGAAGGGAGTACTGTTGAATGATCATTGTAGCTTCCATTAATTACCAAATGTGTGCTTTAGGGTTTGGTCAAACAGACGAGTACGATTTTGAGTCTGAGCTTCATTGGAGTTGTATTTGGAATCATGTAAAGGTACCTATTTTATCTTAACCGTGTGTTGTTATTTTGAGTTCATTGTTCGATAGTTTGAATAACATATTTAATAATGATCATTAACATTTAAAAAGTCCTTCAAATATGCAAAACAGTCTACTTTTGAGGGAAAACTTGAAAATCTGAGCACCATACTTGGCGACATTTTCAACCACCTGAAGAAACTACTTCGAAGGAATGGCCTTGTAAACAGGGGCGGACCCAGGATTATGATCCAGTGGGGGCGAGAAAAAATTACGTAAAAAAGAATTTCAAGTTAGAAATAACGATAATAATCAAAACGTAGTATTTTTTTACAATTGTTCCTTACGGCTTCTCATACTTTGAAAACGCCGTCTAATAGTCTTGTTATCGATTTCGTTAAATACATCTTTTTCCACATACACAAATAAGCTATCATTCATCCACTGGTCTCCAATTTGATTACGCAGTCGATTCTTCACAATGTTCATAGCCGAAAATACTCTTTCAACTGAAGCAGTAGCAACTGGAAGAGTTAATCCTAAAGTCACAAGCATGTAAACTAATGGATACATTTTATTTCTTTTGGTCTCAACCAACTTCAATGCAAGTTCACTAAGTCCCTTCAATTCTCTGAACTCCTTGTTAGAGCGCATATCAACAATATAGTTTCGAAGCTGATCATCAAGTGTCATGAGCTGTATCTTTGAAAAATCTTTAGGATAATACTTAGAAAGACGAATTAATTTATCCTTGTCAAAAGCAGAGAATGAATCATCGGGGCATAAACATGCTAAACAAAGAAGTAACTCTGTACTTACCTCAGAAAAACGATCATTCAATTCTTGAATTTGTATATCAATGACAGAATAAAATAAATCCACACGAAAGTGATGAAAATTTGTCATTTCTTCAGTATTACGCCGTGAGCGACCTGGGCGTACAAATACACTATCCATGTCAAGAACATAATATTATGCTTTTGACAAAAAGAAACGACTTCATCCAAAAAAGAATCCCACTCATTGTCCCTCATTTCTTGGAGTCTTTGTTTGCATACTGTCACTAAACTCATGGCATTTACAATATCTTGATCTTTTCTTTGTAATGCCATAGACAATTCATTGGAAATTCCTAAGATAGTTCTCATGAGGTGTAAATTAAACACAAACTCAAATGACTGCATTGAGTCCAATAAATTATCAGCATCACATCTTTGTTCACGGGTTGATCCATCAATTGAAATCATTTCAATGACATCAATTATAGGTGAGAACATCAATATCAAACTAACCAAAGTACGATAATGTGATCCCCAACGTGTATCACCAAAATGTGCAATAGTACTTGTTGATTTAGACCTCGCCCACTTGAAATCTCACCATTAATGAGTGCTTCAGAAATTATGGCTTCTTGTTTCTCTCGGAGAATATCACAACATTTAGAAGAAGCTCCAACAATATTCACCATGCTAGAAACCAAATTAAAGAGTTTTTGGATTTTCTTATGCTTCTTTGCCAGAGCTACAAGAGCTAATTGAAGTTGATGAACAAAACAATGAACATAAAAGGCACTTGGATTCTCTTTCAAAATAAGTGTTTTAAGACCTTTGAACTCACCTTGCATATTACTCGCCCCATCATAACCTTGACCTCGCAATCTGGATATACTCAACCCATATCTTGAAAATAATTTATCTATAGCCGCTTTAAGTGATAGAGCTGTAGTACTGGAAACATGTTCAATTCCAATAAAACGTTCAACCACATGTCTTGTCTTATCAACATAACATAAAACAACAGACATTTGCTCCTTCACTGAGATATCTTGAGATTCATCAACTAAAATTGAAAAGAATGTATCATCAATATCTTTGATGATAACATCAATCATTTCAATAGCTCCAGCACTTACAATATCCTTCTGAATTTTTGGTGATGTTAGTTTGTGATTTTTTGGAGCATTTTTCAAAGTGACAGCTTTAATCTTTTCATTATGATCAGCTAGAAACTTCAACTGTTCAAGAAAGTTACCTTGATTATTTGACTCTTCACACTCATCATGACCACGAAAAGCTAGTCCTTGACATAAAAGAAGTCGTATACAATCAATTGATGCATTCAAAAGAATTCGATATGTACTCCATGCTCTTTTTGACTGCTTGAATAAAACTGTCTCAATATGTTGCTCTTGATTCATCAAGGCTTCACAGTTTCTTCGGGCTTGATTGTGTGCACTATGGACATCTCCAACATGAACTCCAAGTCTATCATTCTTTTTAAAATTATGGAACCCTTCTTTTACAAAAGTATCGCCACCTCCTTGTTCCCCATTGTTTGGTCCGAAAAGATAATAGTATAAGTAAAATGCAGCATTTTTACTTATACTATATTCTAACCAATCAGGATATTCATTGAACCAAGCAGGAATGAATCACCTTGATTTTTTACGTGGAAACACATGACTCCGAGGTTGACATGGACCTCTCTGCAAGTATGCTCTTCTTATTTGATCTCGAAGATTAACATTATAATCCAATATTGGAGTTCTTAATCCGGGATCCATGGGAAGTTGTGCAACATCAATATGCTCAATACTTGCTTTCTTTACCTCATCATTTTCTTGAAAATTAGTGTCATCAATACTTGCTTCCTTTGCTTTATCATTTTCTCCAACAGTAGCATCCTTACCATTGGCTTCCTTTGCCTCGACATTTTCTTCAATAGAAATTTCCTCAATGCGTTATTTCTTTGCCTCAACATTTTCTTCAGTAGATATTTGAGATACCTTTTTAAAATATCTCAACATATCTTCCTATCCTACAAGCCAAACAAAGCTTGCATAAATATACCAACGGTGAAATGGAAAGTTAAGAGATGAACTCCGAATCTAAAATTGATGAACTAAAACGACCTTGATCTAAAAAATAAGTGAGTTTCTTGAGTAATATAAATGAAATACAAATACTCAGATGGATACTTGGATATCAAATATAAGCAACTAAAACCCAAGAGACCTAAATCCTAATGTAAATTTTTTTTATAAGTTCCGATAAAAATAACTAAAATTGGTAACAATTAACATTTGAGAATCCAAGTCCAACAAGGCAACAACTGAACCACTACAAATCTACAATCCAAGATTCCAAATTCAACACATTTTCGACTTTGCCCCTGATCCAAATTCCAATTTCCAAGAGACAGGAACTTAGGAAGAAATTAATTAAATATAAGTTATCTAACAATTTACAATTCAAGGTCACATTATCAATTCATATTGTTGAAATATCAATTCATTTCATTCACTTTCACTGATTCATCGTTCACGGCTGACGGCTACGGCTTCAAATATTTTTTTTAATCCAACCAAATATCTAAACTTGCTATTTGCATAAATAACTAACAAAAACATAAATAATAAGATTAACACAGAGAAATTGATTACCAAAATTTTTTTCTTCAATCTATTCGCATCGCACCGTCCGTCTCACAGTCGCCCACTCTCGTTGCCTCTTACTGGTTCTGGAATCCGGTCCATAGGGTTTGGGAATTATGGACCATATTTTCAATGTTAAAAACTTATAGATTGTTGGGCTTGGGTTAAAAATCATGGGCTTCTATTAATCTATTGTATGGGCCTTTTTGAATGTCAAAAAAATTTAGGGTCCAATGGGGGCAATTGCCTCCACTGGACCCTTAATAGGTCCGCCCCTGCTTGTAAATTCTGCACCATTAGAGAATTGACTTTGAATGGGAACCTCTGATAAAACAGCATTTGTGCACAATGTTCTAGTGGTATGTATGGCTCTAAAGGTCAAGTGAAGTGCCCTACAAAACCCAAAATTGGGACCGATGCAAGGCAATGGATTTGCATTAGAATTCTTTAGAAGTGAAACTCTTAGGTGATTATAAGGAAAAACAAAAGGGGTTTTTGAGAAAATCTTAAAAGAACCACTGTGGATGATGAGACTGTTAACCACCTTCCCATTTCGAAAATATGGAGGTTTCTCTGTGCTTTGCGGTTGCAGAGAAGTGCATGAACCGAATTTATTTTCTGTTCACTTCTGTAGGATTTAGAGCATGTTTGATACAACTTAAAATTCAGTTAAAATTAATTTTTTGAACGTTATTTTACTATTTCACTCGTCTTTTTTGAATTCTTCTCTCACAGATATGACCCACTTTATCTCTAACGATCAAAAAATTAATTAATAAAATCCCTACCAAACAAGCTCTTAATTTGTTTCATTTTTGTGTCTAAACTTCTAAAAGAACAATTTTCTACCAAAATTAAACTTTTGTGACAATTGTGATTGTGCTTAATAATCATATATCATATTCTAAAAATAAAGTGTGAAAGTCATGCAAGAAGAGAAGCTCATCAAGAAAAAGATAAGAAATAGACATATATATATTTTATTAAGAATCAAAGTCTCATATTTATATGGAAGAATTAAGGATACAATGCAAATAATCACGAGGGTTGCAAGGGTAAAATTGGCATTCACAGATAAATATATCATTACAACACACTTTTTGAATGATATATTACAAAAATATTTGTCTTGTTAAAACTTTGCCGAGAAAATCCAGTAAGACAAAATTTGATTGAAGGAAAAATAGTACGGTTGCTCCCTTGATTTCAATAAATAAAATTTTTGTATCAAGCGATCCATATCTTGTATGTTAATATCTTCAATATTGTAATTTTTGGTAAAGCATGTTTCATGTTGTCTTATACAGTTTCCGAATAATACCATCTTGTTTTATAGAGATATTTATCAACATTTGATAACTACAGTAACGTGATGATCTGAAAAATAATTTTTATTAATTTCTTCGGAAGTTTCATACATATAAAAGCATCATTTAAAGAGAATTTTCTACAAGGGTTCAAACTTCTCATTTATTCTCAGCATTCTTTATTTTTCATCTTAGTGTATAGTGATAGATCAGTTTTACATATATTACACAATAAAAAATAAGTAGATGAAAAAAATATTAGGCTTTGACCATAAGTTAATTATAACAAGAAGAATTATGATGTTGGCATGATGCACAATAACATTCCCTAAACAGAAATAGAAGTACTTTGTTTTCAATTAAATTAATTGGAGGTGTTTTATAAATAATGATGTTAAACCATTTACCGACATTCCAACTTACATTAATTAAAATGTTGAGATTTAGGATCACTATTATCATCAAAACTTACCATCTTGAATGCATAATCTGAAAAATATGCTCATAATTTAAATTTGAGCAATAATTTCGTATACTTCAGGTTGCAAACACCATGTAATCGTATAGTATATGTATCAAATCTCTTAGATACAAATATCATTTAGATAATCAACATGAAAGATGATAGAGCCCCATTTATCACCCCGATTAATTTTCAAAAATACATGGAATTTAGTTCCTATTTTAAATAATGATGTGTAGTGATCAATTTTCGATTACAAGAACAAACAACGTATATGAATTCATTAGATTAAAATTATTTTAGGTTTTTCATTGAACGTCCATTGAAATTTTTAGTTTCACATTATTATTGATCTATTAATGGTTCAATTGGTCAAGCCAAAGAATAAAATCAAATTGAATCTTGGTTCAATAAAGTGTTTATTTCAATTATATATTTCTCTTTAATTTAGTAGAGAATAAATTATTATTAATAGTAATATTATATTCTCTAACACGTTGCAGTATTGACTCTTTCATATTCTCTTTTATTATGCTATTCAGGAGAGGATAATTCTTTCTAAAACATTTATATAAGGTGAGTTGTGTTTTTCCAGAACATTAAGATTATAACCATTCAGTATAAATATAATTTCTAATTGTGCTTCTTCAAGAGCAAAAATTTAAATCAAAATATTTGATTAGTTTAAAAAATAACAAACATAATATACAACAGGATTAGAAAGACTTCGATAGAATATACTTACTTCAATTTAAAAGTTATAGAAAACCTTGAATGGTTGACAAATCTCACATTTTTCAAAAATCTAAATTTGAAAATTTTATAGTATTTAAAAATTTTGCTACTGCTTATGTAGCTGTTTCTCACAATTGAATTGTTAGATTTTGATAAGAATTGTTGAATTTGCAGCGTAATGAATTGTGAACTTCCCATCCAAATTTCATGACGATTGGACCACGAAATGCTGAGATATCAATTTTTTTTATTACAATTGTGCAGGCCATCCAGATTCTACAAATTTCTGCCAGATTGACTTCAAAATAATCAAAAATATCTTCTATAGTATATAGAGTCAATACGTGGTCAAAGAACTTCAAGTTCCTAATAATGTTTGATTTTAATCATTTGAAAGTATAGTACATGTAGAAGTGAGTATCGAGGGTTTTCTTTTATCTGCTTCTGGTCAAATACAAAAGAAATTGTACAAATATATTTTATATTATTTTCTTGTATCATTTCAATGTGAAACCTATTTTAGCGGATATCTTTCAAATTAAACAATTTTATTCTGAATTTAATAGAATAAAATGTATCGTCAATATATAATTTTATTATCAAATAATACAAACTCTTTCGGAGCTTTCAATTTTTAATGTAACTAATGTCATATTAACATAATTTTCTACTAATATTAAGTCTAGAAAATATTTTTTTATCGTAAATAATAGTATATGTAGTTGTATTATAATTAATATTTTATAATCATATAATAACTAATCGAATAGTCAGCATAATCAGTGTCCACATGACATGAGCTATATGTTTTCTTTAAGGGATAAATACTAATTCAAAAATTACACATATTCTTTTAGAGATATGCTACTTCGAGAGCATTTTGTATTTTACTATTACTTCTTCAAGAATAATATATCAATAATCTTGTGAAATATTGAAATTTCAATATAATGCTTTGCAGGAGTTATAAAATATTATAATTATTTTAAAATAGATCATGTAAAGATTTACTCTTCAGGAGTAAAAATATAATTATGTTATTCTAGAGCAAGTCAAAATTTAATTAGAATATCAATATATAAATACGTATACAGTAGAATAGACATGTAAAGAAATAGAGTAATTTAATTCGTGATTTTACATTGAAATCGATCAATATTCTTTTGAAATATTGAAATTATAATATCATACTCTTTTGAAACAATTAATATATTTTAAAAAATATTAATAATGTCATGCTACTTTACAAGCACCAACAAATTGTAAGTTAGAAATATTAACTCTTCAAGAGCATGTTTTATGCTAGAATATTAAGATTTGTACAGTTGCGCTTCTTCGGGAGTAATAAATTATAATTTTGAAAAAATGACATAATTTATTTGAACAGATTAAAAATATTAATTATATATAGATACAATATAATTTATATATAAAAATTAATTACTAAACGTGAAAAAGGAAAAACAAATTTCAAACATGCAAACGTAATCTTAAATATAAAGGCAAAATTCTAAATAACCTACATGTGAATTCTAAGTAATGATGCGATTGCAAGGAGTTCTCTTTCCCTGTTACGTTAGTTCTTTCTCCCAAGGATTGCATTTAACCATCTATGAACTTCTAAGTCTGATCCCTTTTTCTCTGATCTTTCATTCCTTTCTTGATCTATTTCAACTTGTAGAAAAAACAAGGATCTACGAGGCAACCCCTCTCCAATCACTTGACTAGTCATAATGAACTAAATTATGCGAAAAGGCTTGGCACACTCATCACACGACACATCAATGGCCGAGTCATGTGAGGTTACTGAGTTTAAATACTTTTTTCGACTTTTTTTGAAATTATTTTTCTCTAAAATTTAAGGTTTTATCCATGACTTTCCCTTAAAGATCTAAATCATCAATTAATTTCTTGTCGAACAAATCATCAGGAAAAAAAACGCTACAACTTAAATTTTGCTTCCTTAAAAACAAAAAGAGCCACGGTACCAAACCTTTCACTTTTATGCAAACTTAACCAAAATTTTTAATTTGTGTCATCTAGGGTATCAAACCTTTCAAAAACTTGTTCCTGAAGTCCAATACAACAGAAACCATTACTTTCTATGTTAGTTGACCAAAAGTCAATGATTTGATCAAATTTTAACTAATTTTACAAGGTTAAAATGATAAATTTATATTTTCTATAATTAAAAAAATTAAAATAACTAAAATAAAAAACTAAAAAAAAAAAAGAAAAAGAAAAAGAAAAAAAAGAAACCAAAAACCAGAACTTACCCAATTTCCCGATCACAGCCATCCTCTCCATTGACCACCATCCATTTGTAATAAAACACCATTAATATGGGTTTTACCTTTAATTTTGCTTGTTTATACCTTTACCAAGTCTTACTCATCATATCCTGCTGCTATATTGAAACAACATGTTGAAACAATCTCATTGCCATCTCCACCAGATCCCACACATCAGTAGCCATCTATGGCAGAAGAGATCGAAACACCATCACCATAGCCACAGCCCACAGCCATAGCAAAAATCTACTAACACCATCACCACACTATTACTAGCACGGTAATGACCCATTGACACCACCACGT